AGGAGCTCTGGCAGCATAGTGCATAAGGCATTTGACTGCTAACAAGAAGGCTGGTGGTTCAAACCCACCAGCCACTCCTCAGAAGGAAGGTTGGGAGTCTACTTCTGTAGTGATACCACTTTGGAAACCCAAGGAGGGGTTGCTATGAGTCGGACCTGACTCGATGGCAGTGAGTTTGGTTTGATTTTGATTTAGAGGGCAGAGAAGAACTGCCATACAGGGTTCCTAAGTCTGCAAATCTTCCCAGAAGCAGACTGCCTCATCTTTCTTCTGCAGAGCAAATGGTGGGTTCAAATCATCAGCTTTTGGTTAACAGTTGAATACCACCATACCTCTAGCTTCTTAATCTGGTGCTTTAGTTCTGTAGAAAAAGGAAACTCCCATTTCTTCTCAAATAAATGTGGATTAATGAGAAATTCTCAAGTGAAGTAGTAGAGATATTGTGGGAAAGTTTCCAGTGGGTGGGAGTAGCATGGACTAGCAAAAACTACAAAAGAATGCAAGAGTTTCAACTGGCAGATACAAGGAGTAAAGAAAATGACAACAGGAAGAGCCAGAAGGTGTTGTTTAATTCTTGTAGGACTGGTTGGTTGAGGGAAGACTATACAGTTTCTCTTACTTAAATTGCAACCTGGGACTTCACCACTATAGCGAAACAGCTACATAAGTTGTGTACCATGACAGAAACAGTCCTCAGAGTGAAGTGTTATCACAGGAGCAGTGAAAGTAGTCTGTTTGCTTTAGTGTCTGCTACTGATGGAAAAATGCCCATATCATCTTCAAGTAGTATTAGAGGAAATTCTTCCCAAATACATGAGACTGAAAATTCAACCCAAGAGGATCTGTTTTATTATATGCTCATCAGGAAAACATAAGATTATTAATAGCTACATTGGCCTGTAAGAATCCAGAGCAATCCCAGGAAAATATTACCTTATTTTCTCTGTTATTGTTGTTAGATGCCATTGAATCCGTTCTGACTTATAGTAACCTTATGTACAACAGAACAAAACACTGTACTATCCTCACAACGAAGGCTATGTTTGAACCCATTGGTATGGCTGCTGTGTCAGTCCATCTCATTGAAGGTTTTCCTCTTTTTTACTGATCTCTACTTTACCAAGCATAATGTCCTTCTCTATGGACTACTTTTGATAACATGTCCAAAGTATATGAGATGAAGTCTCATAATCCGCACATCCAAGAAACATTCTGGCTGCTTCTTCTGACAGCCCATGGACATTCAATATTCTTCACCAACATCATAATTCAAATGAATCAATTCTTCTTTGTCTCCGTTATTCACTGTCCAGCTTTTGCATGCATATGAAGTGATTGAAAATACTATATCATTGGGAGGGAAGGACACAGGGAAGAAGGACACAGGGGACAAAGTGGGAAGAGAGCTGTTACATTGTGGGGAATTGCAGTCAACTTCAAGAGACAAAATGTGTATGAACGCTGAATAAAAAATAAATTTGTTCTGTAAATTTGCACCCAAATCACAATAAAAATTAAAAAAATAAAATACCATGACTTGGGTCAAGCACACCTTAGTCGTCAAAGTGCCAACTTTGCTTTTTAACACTTTAAAATGATCTTTTGCAGCAGATTTGCCCAAGGTAAATATATTGTTTGATTTCTTGACTCCTTCTTCCGTGAATGTTGATTATGGAACCAAATAAAATAAAATCCTTGACCATTTCAATCTTTTCTCTGTTTATTGTGTTGTTTTTTAGTCCAGTTCTGAGGATTTTTGTTTTCTTTGTGTTGAATGTAATCCATATTGAAAATAAACCTTAGGTCATCTTAATTTCTACTCTCATAGATGCCATATTCCCAAGTTCAAAGGGCCTCAGTTGGTGCTGTTCTAATAATTTTTTCTCTTCTGGCTTATTTCTCTTAGCTCTTACATCTAGCACATACATCTTGGTATAAAAGCGAGAAACAATAGCAGTGGAAACAAATCATGCTGTTTTCCTGTTACGTTTTGGCCCAATGGCCAAAGTAGAGATTCATTATCCACCATTTCTATGTATTTTATGGGAACTGAAAAGAATTCATTTCATAGAACTCACAGCCATTCTATCAACCTGATGGCAACAGGTTTGTTTGCTTCTTTTAAGAATTTCGTATTGTCAGTCTTATCTAGGCTATATTTATCCTCACTTTATTTTACTTACCACCCAGTACACCCAGGAATGAGATTAAGAGGTGATGGAGGGTTAGGATGAGGGAGGGCAGGGTAAGAGTCTTAAATCTTTAACTCTTTTGTCTTTACAATTCACCATTATTCTCATAATCGATAATGTGGTTTTACCAACTATTACCTCTGCATTCCAGGCTTTTAATGAGCTTACATGGAGCTCTGGTAGCATAGTGCCTAAGGCACTTGACTGCTAACCAGAAGGCTGGCAGTTCAAACCCACCAGCCACTCCTCGGAAGGAAGGTTGGGCAATCTACTTCCGTAGTGATACTGCCTCAGAAACCTAAGGAGGGGTCGCTATGAGTTGGGTCCGACTCGACGGTACATAACAAGAACACAACAATGAGCTTACACAGATTTTGGCCCGCAGTTTCCAAAGTTGTCATTGGTCTTTGGAGGATTTATTTTTAGCGAGAAGATTCTTAGTATCGATTAGTGAGCATCCTCTCTAAGATTTCTGTTTTCCTCCCTACCACACATCATATTGCATGTGAAAAGAGAGCTGATTCCTTTCTTGAATGTGGGGAAGAGTCAAGAAAGAAACACAGACAGGAACATAAGTTATTCTTATAGAATATATCCAATTATATACTTATAGACTAAAACATTTTAGTGGAAATATGTGCTACATAATATGTAAGACTTCAGAAACAAATAATCTAGAGTCACTTTGTTATTGTTGTTTTGGGGATTGCAAAATGTCCTCAACACTAGTGTTATTAAGAGTTGGCAGTAGACTTGAAGTTTGAAGTATTCCTGACAGTTGGGTTTTAGAATATTATCAAAGAGGCCCTATGTTCTACTGGGAACCTAGTTAACAGGCTTAGCTGAATATTTAGACAGTAAATTTGTCACCATGCTGGCTGGCTGTTATGTTGATCTGACCATCAGGGAATTTTCAGAAAAGGAAAACAGCTTGTGGCATTTGAGCAGAGCTATTAATTGGTAACATTTAATATGGGATGACCAGGAGCAAGATTCCATAATGGTGGCAGAACTCTGTTCTTTAACACCAGCTCTAGCTGCTGTGTCCTTACCCAAACAGCAGTGGAGATTTGAAAGGAGGTGGTCAATTTAGCTGGAGTTAAAGTCCGTAGGCCTTTTTAGTCCATTTTTTTTTCTTTCTCCATCCTCTTCATCATCTCTTTCCTCTCTTGTTTTTAGCCTACTTTGTTTTCTTCTTACTTTTCTTTCTTTCTCTTGTTCAGAAAGAAAGTCATATAATCAATGATATTTCCATATGAAGGGAAATTTTTAAAGTTTGCCTATCTAGAGATTTCTTTACTAAAATGGACATCTCAAACTCTTAAAATCTTTCCTAATAATAATAATAGTAATAATCTCAATTAGCTAAAATAGTGATATTTAGCTTCCTATCCCAATCCCTAGATGACACAGTCCATCACAAAACTTAGATGATACAGTCCATTACAAAATTTACCTCCAGGACCACATTTTCACAGATCTGGTCCATAGCCTGAAAGTCTCAATGATGATATAGTTTGATATTGAGCAAGAGAAACCACTCATTCAAGAAAGAATTTGGAGCATGTCCCTTGTGAAGAGAAACCCACATAACCTACAGGAGAAGAATGACAGTATCTCAAAAGGAAACTACTAGTTCATTTTAGTTGAAAGAATGCTTTATAATACTATGTAATTGATTATGTTAGTACTTCACCAATATCCCCTCAGAGCCCCTAAAACTTGAATATGCCTCCCCCTATGTGCCACCTTACTCTGAGTCCTTAATCAATGACTGTGAACATATAAATAGTTTGGCTTCTTGACTCTTAATCACGACAACTTTGAAGTGATGCCTGCTCTGTCTAGGGAACTCACTGAAAGTTGAGCCAAAGTTGTCCTCTGTGATACTTCTTGCCATTATACATTTGTTTGGCTTTTTTTCTTCTAGGTCCCATTTCCCCACTCTCTTACCCATTTAATTTTTACTTATTTTTTATTTTTTTTTTGGGGTATTTCCTACTTAATCATTTTCACACAAATTTTGTCTGTGATCTACTTTTGTGGAACCTGACCTCAGACAAATCACATTGTCAAACTATAGGAAAGCTACTTGGATTTGTGGCTTAAAAAATTTTGAAAAAAACTAAGGGATCCACTGCATATTTTAAACTTTAGAAAACAATCATGTCAATCTTTATTTTTCAGGAAGAGAATTTGAAGGAGAAGAAGAATATCTGGAGATCCTTGGCATCACCAGGGAGCAGTCAGGCAAATATGAGTGCAAAGCTGCCAATGAGGTCTCCTCAGCGGATGTCAAACAAGTCAAGGTCACTGTGAATTGTAAGTATGGCAGGAGCCAGCAGGTGCTATGTGTCTAGGGCCTACCTCCACCCCCAGTGAATCCTAAAAATCCCATTAGCAAAATAACACTGCATTTCAAGCAGACACTCTTCTGGTCAGAGATGCACATTTATACATTGGCCATATCCAAGGGCAGGGTCTGGCCTTTGAATTTGATAAATCAACTCTGCCAACTCTAAATATAACCTATAATGCATTTATCAATACACTCTCTCTTTCATTCAGACTACGGAATTAAGAAAACATGATCAGGCAGCACTAGCATTTCTAGCTATCACTGTTCTGGTCTTCTTGGAGAACAAAGTCATACTACTTTGGAAAAAGGAACAATTCATATCTGCTGTAATTAAAATCCCCATCTTAATGCATTGTTTGTCAGAAAGGAATAACCCAAGATCATGTTTTATCTTACCCTACTTAACTAATTGACCTTGGGAATATATTCAAGCCACTGTTGTCAGATATCATGTGTCCATGTTGGCCAGCAGGGATACCTGATAAGTTCCTTTTGGTTATCTATTTGTCCCAAAGTATGGGCATTAGAAAGTAAGATTTCCCTAAGATGCATAGGTAAGTGGGCATACTTTGAACTTCTCAGATGAAAGGCTCCTTAGATGTAGTTCAAAAGTGGGGGAGGGAGGATCCATGTGATGTGTGTCATCCAGCAATAGGAATAAAGAGAATTCATTTACTCTATTCATCTGGGAGTGACTTTCTACATCATTCAAATTCCATTTCCTATATCACACAATTGTGGCTAGTACGATGGACAAAGGAATGTCCTGACAGTTAGTTCTTCCCTTTTATGCTTGCAACACATCACAGACATACAAATACATACATACCCTACAAACGATAAAGACATACTCACATACACACATGTACTCACACATGCATACATACATGTACATAATGTACATGCACACACATAGGCATATAAACACATATGCACAGACATCTTAACTCATATTTGAAAGTATGCTTTAGGCCTTAATGAGTTACTTTCTATTATTTTAAGCATTGTGTGCTGTGATTCTATATAAATTCTCTCTAATCTTTTCAATAACCCTGACAGGTATGTATAATTGACTTCATTTTAGAGTTTAAGAAACTGAAGCTCAACAAGATAAAATTGCCTTTCTAAAGTGACACAGAAAGCAAGTGTTGGAAAAGAGATTCAGACTCAGGTCCATTGGATTCTAAAGCCAATGCTTCCAGGAGGAAGATTTATATTTGTTATTTCACCCTCACAGTAAGAGCATGAGAAAAACATTATTGGTCCTATGTGAGCAATGTGGAAACTGAAATTTAGGGAGCAGAGAAGACTTGCCTAGGGCACCCCAGCCTGTGCTGCCCTGCACTGCTTCCCCTAGCCTAGCTCTACCTGTGCAGTCTTCTGAAAGAAGCAGCAAAATCTCCTTCCTACCAAACCTAGAAGACTCAAATAGATACAGCTCTGCCGTAGACATTTATGGCACTCATATCCAAGAGGCGGGGGCTGCAATTGAAGAACTCTGAAGTGCTTTTATCTCCAGCTGTCCACATTTTTTTTTTTTTTTTTTTTTTTAGTAATAGAGTTTTGAAATGCCAGTATTACTATTCTTTTTCCAGTACTGGGTGTGTTTCAAAGACATATTAATGATCTGAATGCTATAAAATGCTTTAGGACCTTTTTTTCACATGAAAGGCAATTTTTCTGGGTGTTTATGTAAGTTTATAATTAGGTTAGTTAGTTTCTTTTATGTACACACAGCCATGCAATCATCTTCCACTTCTTCCCTGACTTTTACAGTCAAGATTTCATTTTCTCTTAATTGACCTTCATCTTAATTAGATTTCTAAAAGTCCTATCGTGGAATACATAGAAAATATTTATGCTTCCATTGTGTGAAACATCAAAGTGGTCTGGATTACAGATGGCTCCCAAGATCAAAGCTAGCTGCCTAGGCCCTATTATTATAAGCCCAATTAGTTTGACATTGCTTCTTCTTGACTGTCCCCAAAGTGTAACTTAGAACAGCAGAAAACACTGATAACTTTCAAGAAAAGGCTTTTACGAAAATGTGAGCTTTTGTTAACGATGAGTATACCACAAAATATGACAGAAACTTAGGATTCAAAAAAGATACCTCATTACAGATTACATGGAAATCTTTAATGAGCTTAGGTGGATGCCCAGTATGTCCTAACTAGCAGTGCCTAGCACATGACTGTCTTTATAACAACTGCTCAGAAAATATTTATTGAGTGAATAGACAAACAACTCACAGGGAAACTCTGCCCTCTTAACATCTCTTCAACTTTACAAATGCTATTGACTACCAACCAGGAAGTGTACTTAATATCAAATTCCTTTGGAATCACCTTCTACCAACACTTCATCAGCTGTGTTCATATCATATTAAAACAACTACTTGGAAGGTTAGAAAAAGCCATTGCACATTGTGCCTGTTGTCCTATTCAAACAATTCTTCCCGATCCAATACGGTTGCATCAAATAGATGAAATCATCAAGTTTGAATTAAAGAATAACATCTGGCTAACAAACCTCTTGCAAACTAAGATCTAGCCAGGATCATCTTTGTCACTTCATCTAAGCCTGTCCTTTCAGAAAATGTCTCATGTTTTAAACTGATTCCTCTTCTGCTTTAAAATATAGTACCAGGCTAGCTAAAGTCACTAATGGCAGCATGGATTATTGTAATGAAACAGAGCCTGAGTACCACTCAGAAATCCCCAGTGCTGGTAACTTGCCCCCACCATCACTTCATTTACTCAGTCAATCTGCCACCGTATTTATTGCAGGACATTGAGGCTAAAGCAGTAAACATCAAGACATAAACATTTCTCTTATTTAGCTCAGAAGCCCAAGTCTCTCCTTTCTACTTTCTGCTTCTCCACAGTATGATTACAGCATTGCACACCGTTACTTTACATACAAAATATACTTTTCTAAGTGGTAGGAGGTCCTGAGGTTGACCACAGGGTAAATTATTGATTTGAAATATCTTAAATTAGATACGCTTAGTAATATCTTACACACTAGACAGTACTTCTGGTTGCCAGTATCTTACCCACAGGGTAGCTAATTTCTTCCAGATGCTAGCCCTAGGGACAGCCTGTCCTTTCATTAAGGGTTCCAAGTGTAATCCCTCAATTTCAGTTGACATTCTGGCTGTCCAACTCTGTCATGGTGTTCTGGCAGTGCATTAAAAAGATCTTCTTATGGACTTGTCTCACTCTAGGGTCTAATATTCCTAGGGTAATAACCAGCACATAGTAAAGTTCAATAAATAGAGACTATTAATTTTATTTGGACTCTTCTTATACTGGCCTCTTTTTCTATTCATGAAGAAATTCTTCTTAAAAGCTTACCCCAACCCTCAAGCTTCCCTCCTCCCCCATTGACCAGCTATTGTTCCACCTTTTGCTTTCCTACAACTACCTATCCAACTAGGTTCATGTTGCCACTCAAACTCTTTTTCTCCCTTGGACTCACCTGTGCCTCCACCTTGGTGTCCATAACTAACTAACCAACACAACACAGATGCAGGGGGATATGGGTCACTGACATTTCTAAAGTTCATCTTTCATTTATAGCCCCTTATTTAGAGCTATTTACTTAAGCAGAGGTTACCATGAACTACTCAGTGGGCCTGGAGAAATCTATTGCCTCCAAGTAATTTGGATGTATTTCAATTGGACTTTTGGTGATTTGATTAAAGAATGAAATTTTTAGGAAAATGATTGTTTAGTATAGAACCAGACCAAACACCTTTTTAGCTATTCATAGCTAGATCTACCTAGTCTTTGTACTGACCATTAGTTTAGTTTTGCATTTAGGAAGATATCAGTAAAAACACATCCTAATACTTCTGAATCTCTTATGAGATTTTCAGAGGAAATATTCAATAAGAATCTAGAGTACTATCATTTGTTATCATAATTTTGTAATATGTATGAGAACCATCAATTTTAGTATCTTCAGAGTATCAGGAATTATGCTGTTGGAGATTTCATATATATTCACTGTAATCTTCACACCGACAGTGGCAAATCAAATGAAAAGATATGGTGGGTGTGGCCTACCTAAGAAGGGGACTATTTATTTTATCACTGACATTATTTAGAATTTTCACTACAGGGTTATTAAAAATAAAACAAAAGAATATTTGTCATTATTATTATTTTTTAAAATTATCTACAGATAATGTCTTTTTTATTGTCTACACCTTCTACCTCCACCCCTTTAGTAAATCACAGCACACTAACACTGTGAAACAACTGATATCATTCCCATGTGTAGAGAAAATCAATCAATCAATCAATCAATAAAAGCAAAACAAAATAAATGAAAGCATTTTCTGGCACAGAATCAAAGAATTTGTGATTGGTAGAGTTGGGACTTTAGTCCAGGTCTAATTCCAAAGCCCACCCTTCTTATATGACACCATGTGAAAATGGTACTAAAATAATAATTTTAATGATGTCAGATGGCAAACGTGCTTTCATATACATGATTTCATTTGCCCTTTATATGAAACATGTGAGATGGGAAGGCAGGAGTCATCATCTGCAATCATAGATGAGGAACTCCAACAGGTCAAAATGTCTCTGCTGATATCCTAAGGGACAGAAGCTGAAATTGAGCCCACTTCTCCTGAATTCAGGTTTAAATCAACTAGGTCACCTATGTCACTGCAAGCTGTGCTATTTTTGATACCCTATAAATAGTAGAAATATGTAACATTTACCTTTCAAGCGATCAGAATTTGGGAATTTTTTTTTTATTAGGAATTTATTTTTCTGTAAAATAATTCATTAAAATGTAATTATGAGAACAGAGAGATTCAGAGCATCATCTTCAAAACATGATAGACCTGGTTTCAAATCCAGACCCCACCAAATACTGACTATGTCACTTTGGACAAGTTATAAAATATCTGTGAGCCTATCTTCTAATTCATAAAATGGGGTTA